CGACATTTTACAAAAGGGATTTTTACCGAAAGGAAACAATGACTTCTGTAATAAGAATGAAAGTTCTCTAAGTAAAGAAGATAAGATGGAAAAGAAATTCTATCTCTTAGAACCCTAGAGTATGATGGGAAACCGCCTCGAAAGTATTGGAAAGTGGGACAGTTTTTCCCGTGGTATTAATATAAAATTAGGAAATTAATGATGACGATTGTCAGGGAAATCAAATCATCTGATTATCCGAGATCGGCGTAACAGCGTAAAACATGGAGAAATTCCAGAATGTTAAAGATCTCGAGTCATTAATTACTATTTACTTAAGTCTTCCAAGCCGAGCACTCAGCTCGCAAGACTTGGGGGGCTAAATGTTGGGGTCGGATCCCACACACTTTCGGTAGGATCCACTTGGATCTGTCCACGTCATTATTGCATAATAATCCTCTTGGAATTAAAGATATTTTATTATAAGAATCGCACTTAACCAGTCAGGAGTTCGATTCAGTCTACTAAAAGAGTTCGATCTTTACCAGTACGGAGTTCGTTCTTATTCAACATACAGTTCGCATAGAGAAAGGCCGAAGCGAGGAGAATACTGTTCGGGGTTCGCGGTAGCATCAAAGCATGGGAGTTCGGAGTCAGCAAGAAAGAGTTCGGGAGGCCCACGTGAAGCCCAAGACAAGTTCAAATTCAAGCCGTTTCGGTCAAAATGTAACTTATGTGATTAATGCGGATCAATATGCTTACGAGTAGTAAATAGCCGCATTAATCATGTTTTCTCTATAAAAGTAACCTCAAACGCATGTGTTTGAGAAGAACAATATTTTTACCTCTTACTATCAAGCAATACAACATACTTTTTCTCTTACAATTTCGCAAAGCTCTTTACTATTTTGTTCTTATCAATTCCTTTCGCTTTATTTAGTTTCTTGGTTACTTTCCTGTTCAAATACTTATAGTCATCCTTTGATTTTAGAGTTTTTCTCCACAAAAATAATTAAAGACAATCGAGTGTGAATCCTACATCCACAGTTGCCAACACTATAACCATCTAATTCCAGTGTACCGGTTGCCGGAATCCGGCGTTGACCGGCATTGACTGATGTTGACCGGCGTTGACCAAAAATATTTTCAAAAAAATATTTTTTTCTTTTTATTTTTTTTTGATAAAAATAAATTTTTTAAAAAATAAATTATTACATAATTTTACTTAAAATATAACAAAATATACCAAAAATAAATATACCATAAAAATATATATATTTTTTGTTATATTACCAAAATTTTATTAACAAAATAAAATACAAATTTTTCTTGTGCTATATTTTGTTATAAATTTTTGGTAATATAACAAAGTATATCTTTTCCTTTTGGCAATCATTTTTTTTATAAATTCAAAGGTTGCTTTTCTATTTTAAATAATATAACGAAATATATCTTCTTCTTTTGAAAATAATATATGAACTTTGATATATATATAAAACATGTAATTGAAAGTATATACCAAACTCAAATATATATATATATATATCTTTGTAATATATATATATATATATATATATATATCTTTGTAATATATATATATATATCTTTGTAATATATATATATATATCTTTGTAAAAACCACAAATCAAAGCATATATTATGATGTTTATAAATTAAAGAGAAACAATGGAGAAAAATGAATTTATATACTTTCATTTTGTTAATAAAATTTTTGTAATATAGCAAATTTTGTTAAAAAATGTATATTTTGATATATTACCAAAATTTTATAACAAAATCTAGCACAAACAAAAATTTATGGTCTATTTTTTGGTATATTTAGTTATATTACAAAATATATTCCAAAAGTTTGTTGTATAATTTTTTATGGTATATTTATTTTTGGTATACTTTATTTAATTTTAAATAAAATTATATAATAATTTATTTTTGCAAAATTCATTTTTTCAAAAATAAATAAAAAGAAAAAAAATATTTTTTTGAAAATATTTTGGTCAACACCGGTCAATGTTGGTCAACGCCGGATTCCGGCAACCGGTACACTGGAATTAGATGGTTATGGTGTTGGTAACATGACTTATGTTAGTTCGGGGATGTCCGTATGTAATAGCAATAGTTCGTGTAGCTAATGTGATATTTATAAAGTTTGCATGTGTGACTATGTGATGATGTGTCTTTCGTGTAGCTGGCAAGTTTTTGAATTATTACATAAAATTTAACTATGTTTTAAAGTTATATCGTACATATTTTCCAAAGATGTTAAAATAATTTATGAATAAAAATGTAAAAAAGAAGAATTATGATTAAACACTTTTGAAACAATTTTTATGAATGTAAAATTATTTATAAGTGACAAAATACATAACGAAGAGTTATAAAATAGAGATGAGAAATTCTAGCGGATCAAAACCCAAAATACATACTTGTTTGCCCACTGTTCTTTAAATATAAAAATTAATATTTATTCTATTATATATATTCGAGAAAATATAAAATTTGATGACGTAAATTACATCTATAACAAACAAATAAACATTTACAAGATCTCATAAATTTATATTTGTATTAATAAATTAACTGAGTAAAAAAAACTTATTCCTTGAATATTCATGTGACGAATTGGAATCATTGTTTTTTTTCCTAGTAATGGAGATGATTTCTGGATTACTCTACCATTTGAAACGGTTTATTTGACGCTTACCACATTTAAAGCGCCCAATCACAAGCGTCACGTGAGGATGTCTTCTCATATTCGGACTTTGTAATATTGCTAACTCAGCATCAATATCTCGTTGTATACAACCCATATATATTGCCTGAAGATAGAAAGTATCATTGTTACCATATAAAATAGTTAAATAAAAATTTACTGTATAATCAGTCCAATTCTATAAAAAAAAATTGTTGGTATCTTCGTTAGAATTTTATATTTAAAGTTGATTAAAACTTCTCCACTTTTATAATCATTTCAAAAAACTTTGATTAAATTAAGAATGAGAAGAATTTTTTTAATATTAAAATGATGTATGTTTAGAAATAGCTTAGAGAATAAACAATTTGGGGCCATTTTATAGATTTTTTATTTATTTATCATGAAACAAATAATCTATTTTAAAGAACAAAAATTTGGGAACTACTTAGGAAGAAGGACAAATATATAGAGTTCAAAAGTCACGAACATTTAAATAGACAACTATTTATACAAAAAGTTGTGACGAAAAAATGCAATGAAATATAGTAAAAAGACGTAATTTTAAATGAATACATGCAACTATAAAGACATAACCGTAAACTGAAAAAAAATATGACTATAATTGAACAAATATAAATGTCCCAAAAAACTAACCGTCAATATTTTAATGCAAAGATGCGATAAATAGACACAATTTAGAAAAAATAATCGTCAATAAATTAACAGAAAATTGCAATAAAAAGACACAAACAAAAAAGTTACCGTCAATATTTTAACGGAAAGTTGCGATAAAAAGACACAACCGAAAAGATAACCGTCAACAAAAAAAAGTAACCGTCAATATTTTAAGGAAGAGTTGTGATAACAAAATAAAAACTAGAAAAAACAACCATCAATATTTTAACTGAAAGTTGCGATAGAAAGAAACAACCGAAAAAAGTAACTATCAATATTTTAACGGAAAGTTACGATAAAAAGACACAACCGAAAAAATAACCGTCAACGAAAAAAATAACCGTGATTATTTTAACGAAGAGTTGTGATAAAAAAGACACAACCGAGAAAAAATAACCGTCAATATTTTCACGGAAAATTACGATAAAATGACACAAATGTAAAAAGTAACCGTCAATATTTTAACGGAAAGTTGCAATAAAAAAACACAACCGAGAAAAAAGAACAGAAAGTTGCGATAGAAAGACACAACCAAAAAAAGTAACCGTCAATATTTTAACGGAAATTAACGATAAAAAGACACAACCGAAAAAATAAACGTCAACGAAAAAAGTAACCGTAATTATTTTAACGAAGAGTTGCAATAAAAAAGACACAACCGAGAAAAAATAAACGTCAATATTTTAACGGAAAGTTACGATAAAAAGACACAAACGTAAAAAGTAACAGTCAATATTTTAACGGAGAGTTGCGATAAAAAATACACAACCGAAAAATAACTGTCAACGAAAAAAATAACCGTCAATATATTAATGAAGAGTTGCGATAGAAAGCCACAACCGAGAAAAATAACCATCAATATTTTAACGGAAAATTGCGATAAAAAGCCACAACCGAGAAAAATAACCGTCATTATTTTAACGGAAAGTTGCGATAAAAAAAACACAACCAAAAAAAAGAACCGTCAATATTTTAGCGGAAAGTTGCAATAAAGACACAAACGAAAAAAATAACCGCCAATATTTTAACGGAAAGTTGCAATAAAAAGACACAACCGAAAAATAACTGTCAACAAAAAAAGTAATCGTCAATATTTTAATGAAGAGTTGCGAGAAAAACACAACCGAAAATATAACCGTCAATATTTTAACGAAAAGTTACGATAAAAAGACACAACCGTTCAGAAGTGCAAAAGGCATGTTTTGAGATTGCTATTATATATAGATTAAGAAAAGTTTGAATTACTAATTTTTTTTTTTACAGTAGTTTGAATTACTATTTAAAATTCAAATATTATCGATAAAAATTTATATTTATTTCTTACACCCACCTATTTAAACGAGTTATCTTTTTAATTCAGTTTATTTTTTATTTTTGTTAAATTTTAATTCAGTTTATTTTGGATTATAATATTACTCATTATCTTTTTCTTTTTTTACGATCCATTGGATTGTTGGAATGTCCTAAAGACTTAGGATTGTATAAAATTATTGAATCTGGTCTAACCAATTTGAACCACAACCCCAACAGTTTACCCGGTTTGATTTGGAATTAGCAAAGTGTAGGACAGTTATGAGGTAAATTAATTCCTCCGTGACCTAAAGAGTGACCGTTCCCGTTCACTACCGCCGCAAAAGCTTGTGGCTACCTACAGAGGTTCTAAGGTTTTAAGGTTCTTCACGAAAATTCTCCGATGGGAGTTCCGTCGTTCTACAGATGGTTAATCCAGAGGTATCCATTGATTATACAAGAAGTCATTGAAGAAGAACCACACGAAGTTAATGGCGGCGTCACAATCCCAATCGATACAAGCAAACCTAATCCTAATGGTTACGAGTATGACAATCTCTATCTCGACATGAACGGAATCATTCATCCATGTTTCCATCCTGAAGACAAACCTTCTCCTACTACGTTCACAGAAGTGTTTCAATGTATGTTCGATTACATTGATAGGCTTTTTGTTATGGTTCGACCTCGGAAGCTCTTATTCATGGCTATTGGTGAGTGTTTCTATTGTCATGAATTGGTTTTTTTAGTTTTATTTGTGTTTGTGAATTTGTGTCATTGTGTTTTGGTGTGTGTAATTTGCAGATGGTGTTGCTCCAAGAGCTAAAATGAATCAACAGAGAGCTAGAAGATTTAAAGCTGCAAAAGATGCAGCTGAAGCAGTATGTACCATCTCTTTTTTTAATACACTGTTTCAAGTATCAATCTTGTGCTTTGACCGATCACTTGATAGCATATTTACCACTATAAGTATCTCTGGTTATAGTTGCACCGATCCTGTTGTTGGGTTTGATCCACTGTTCAATCTTGTATGATCATAGAATGCTACTAGGGGAAAGATGAATCAATCATTATGTAACTATGTTGGGAACAGTTATTACTATCGAGAAACGCTATAACTTATGGATCATACAAGAGAAGCTGTCTGCTGAGTATAGCTTTGTCCATGTGACCATATTGTTCTATTTACTTTGTCATTATTAAAATTTAATGATCTCTGATAATAGTTACACCTATTCTGTTATTGTCTTGTACGATCATATGATTCTACTAGCAAATGATGAATCAATTGCTATGTTACTATCTTGGGAACAGGATTTACCATTGAGATATTTTAAAGCTACTACCTGTTATTTGTAGGCAGCTGAAGAAGAGCAGCTGCGGGGAGAGTTTGAGAGAGAAGGGAAGAAGTTGCCTCCTAAAGTGGATTCTCAAGTTTTTGACTCTAATGTTATAACTCCTGGAACAGAGTTCATGTCTACTTTGTCGTTTGCGTTGCGATACTACATTCATGTTAGACTAAATTCTGATCCTGGGTGGAAAAATATTAAGGTATTAACTAGGGTCTCTAATATATTTCCTTGTGGCTGTTTACAATATACTTCAAGTTTTGCTCATGATTTCCTTATTCTGAAGGTTATACTCTCGGATGCTAATGTTCCTGGTGAGGGGGAACACAAGATCATGTCATACATACGTTGTAATAAGAACCATCCTGGTTATAACCCAAACACTCATCATTGTCTATATGGTTTGGTATATAACCTTCTTTTAATTCTTATTTCTTACATGCCTTCATGTTTGAATTTGCAACAAGATTGTTCTGATCTTAATTGCGCAAGCTAATAAGGCCATTCTACTTATTATTTCTTAAAAACAGGACGCCGATTTGATCATGCTCTCTTTGGCCACCCACGAAATTCATTTTTCAATCCTTCGTGAGGTTTGTAGAATTATTCCTTTGAGTTTTATTCCTAGCCCAGCAATGACCAATCTATCTTGTTTATAATTCAGCATGTGCTTCTTCAATATGTTTTGATACTTGATTAACATAAGAAATAGTTACCAATTTGTATGCAAGTCTTTGAAGTTTGAAGATACTTTTTTTTTTCTGCTTCACTTTATGCCAATTTATCTGTATTTTCTCCTTGGTGACGTCACCTAGGTTGTTTTCTTTCCTGGAGAGGAAGACAGATGCTTCTTGTGTGGTCAAGTTGGGCACCGAGCAGCAGATTGTGAGGGAAATTTAAAGAGGAAGGCAGGAGAAATGCTTGATAATACTGAGGCAGATGTTGTGGTGAAGAAGCCATACGAGGTACTTTTTAGGGTTACACACCTCAATAATATATTTTCTAAATTGCATGGTATGTAAAGGGCTCATTACAGAATCATTCAATACCTTTACCTTTTGGCAGTTTGTCAATATATGGATACTTCGAGAGTATTTGGAACACGACATGCAGAATCCTAACCAGCAATCGAAAAAAAATTTGGACCGTTTAATTGATGACTTCATCTTCATTTGTTTTTTCGTTGGGAATGATTTCCTGCCACATATGCCTACGCTAGAGATACGGGAGGTTTGTAGTTTTCTCTTGCTAATACTTTTTTCCAGTTGTCAAAATGCTTGATACAGTGTGCCCTTACATTTGTATGGTCAGGTAGCATTAGCTTAGATTCTTTTAAATCTGTTGAAAATGGTGTTTCTTAGATATAGGAGATGTTCCCATATCATACTTTTCTATGTCAGTCATAAATCACTTAATAGAAATCTTCATTTGTAGTTGGTAATACTTTGGTATTTAATAACTTGGTGCATCTTTACTCATAGTTTGTGTTCTTTCAAAAAAAAAAATTGTTGCATCTTTGTGTTATTGAAAGTCTATGAGCTTACTTAGAACCCCTTGAGAAGTTTGAAAAAAGATTTTCAAATTATTATTGTTGTTGTCTTGCAGGGTGCTATAGAACTGCTGATGTCTGTGTACAAGAATAAATTTAGATCAGCAAAAAAATACTTGACCGATTCAAGCAAGGTTCATAAATTAAACATTCTTTATCTTACTTGGTGTAGCTGTTGGGTTGCATAATTTTTAAACTTTTGTTTACTAACTTTCAGCTGAACTTAAGAAATGTGGAGCGTTTCATCAAAGCCGTTGGGACCTATGAAAATCAGATATTTCAGAAGAGAGCACAAGTACAACAGGTTAATGTCCACATACAATAATTTTGTTTTCTGTAGTTATCTGCATTTTCCTTGCATTTTAAGATTTTGGATTCAAGCGACAAGATTATAAATAACATTAGCCTCCATCTAACACTATGGAAGTGCTATTCTGTTACTCGTTCCGACCAGGCTATTAATCACTTCTCTCTGGCATGTAGAAAACTTTGTTTGATTGTACAACTGTATTTCCTCTAGGTGAATAGTAGCTCATAGTGGATTTTTGGGCCGGGGAATGTTGTAACTTCAAGTTGAGTAAGAGATAAATAAGATAAAGTGAAAAAATTTCGGAATGGTTAAACAAAGTGAATGTTTTGGAGTAACATCCATGTATAATAAAAGTATTGTCATTTTGCTTCTCTAGGCAAGATACTTGTGTATTTTCTTATAAGAATATAATATACTTAGCGGTTTTCTTTCTGAAAGATGGCCATACGCCTCTCTTTTCCATTGGTTAAAAACTTGTCTACACTATCTGATGAATTAGACACCCCTCTGATCCAGGGAAAATGAAGATTAGAAAACATGAAAGATCTACAACATTTGTTTCATTTTTATGGATAGTTTTTCATTGGTGCAAGTGTTATGATGTCTGTTACAGAGGCAATCAGGAAGGTTTATTCGTGACAAAGCTCGTGAAAAAGCTCGTGACAGTGTTCAAGCAAGCAGACAGTTCTCTGGCAAGTTGGTGCAATTAGATTCTCTAGATGAAGTGTCTGATTCATTGCATTCCTCACCTCCACGAAAATATTTGCGTTTATCTTTGGATAATAACATTGGTGTGGCGAATGTTGAAACAGAAAATAGCTTCAAAGCAGAAGTAAGTCATCTTGTATCTCGTCTGAGGAATTTTAACAAATTTGTAGCTTTTGTTTTGGAGCTTTTCTCTCTCATTTAAACTGTGCTAGAGTACACAATGGTTTTCAGGAACTAGATAACGGAGAAGACTTAAAGTTTAAGCTTAAGAAACTGCTGCGGGATAAATCTGATGTGTTCAGCTCAGGAAAGGGAGAACAAGATAAGGTCACATTTATATATTTTTTCAGCTCTGTTTCCATCAATGCTACCATGAGTGCGTAATCTTCATGAGTTTGTTTGATTAACATCTAATCAATCGTTTAATCACGCTGGCAAGTTCACATAGCTGTTGTGTTATTAGGTTAAGCTAGGTGCAACAGGATGGAGGGAAAGATACTACGAAGAGAAATTCACAGCTAAGTCTGCCGAGGAAATGGAACTAATACGCAGAGATGTTGTGAGTTTCTCATGTGTTTAATTTGATGAAAATAAATTACCTTTAAGTCACTCAGAACGCATCAATTTACTGTTTTTTCCTTCTAATTATTTGCTAGGTTTTGAAGTATACAGAAGGTCTTTGTTGGATAATGCATTATTATTATCATGGTGTTTGTTCCTGGAACTGGTCAGTTTCTGGTCATCCTCATACATATATTATATACTATTTGCATTGATTATTTTCTTGTGGTTCTTCATCTAATATTTTGAAGCAGGATGATTATTGCGCTGAGATTACCATATTGTCCTGTAGGATAGGGATGCTCATTTTAATTTACATATCATGCTAAATCTTTTACTGAGCTGTTCAAAACATAATTTCATGTGCAAGACTCCATCATAATTGTGTCATGCACCTTTGTTTATTTGTTTATTTGAGATGTTTAAAATTCTGCGTACATCTCTTTATTTGATTTTTATCTGATGTGATTTAATTCCAAAAGAGCCTAGTTTTAGAGGACATTATAGCCTTAGTAATAATAGCAATCTTAGTGGAAATGGACGAACTCATTGAAACTTTCCTTTCTCCCATTTGTTTGTCAGTGGTTAATTACTGGTATATTTTGCAGGTTTTATCCATATCATTACGCTCCTTTCGCATCAGATCTCAAGGGCCTTGAGAGCCTAGATATTAAGTTTGAACTAGGTTCCCCGTTTAAACCTTTCAATCAACTGCTGGCTGTTCTTCCATCTGCAAGGTATTCTATCTGTATATCTGAGCATTCTTAATGTCTCTCTTCTGTCACTGATTTGCTCATTGGATTCCTGTTCTCAGTGCACATGCTCTCCCGGAGTGCTATAGGACATTGATGACAGATCCAGCTTCGCCTATAGCTGATTTTTATCCTGCTGGTAAAGTTGTTTTGCAGATTGGTCTCTTTCGTTGTGTTATTGTGCAATCCATGCCTCTCATTTAGCTTTTGTGGTGTGCAGATTTTGAGATTGACATGAATGGAAAACGCTACTCTTGGCAGGTTTGATTGTCTTTTCATGCTGATAAAGGCATACTTGATTGGTGACCTGCGTAATTTCTTCAGTTAGATGTAGTCATTTTATGGTCTCATACCTTTATCTTTCCTTGTAAAGGGTATATCGAAACTGCCTTTTGTTGACGAAAGGCGTCTTCTGGAGGCAGCTACACTAGTGGAGAAATCACTGACGGTACATCCAATCTATGTTTTGTATATTGACTTTTTTAGTGGTTTTTATTTATAAGAAAAAATTGTACAATCACATGTAACTTTGTTATTCTTCTCTATGTTTTTTTCCAGAACGAAGAAATTCGAAGAAACAGTGTGTTGTTTGACATGCTCTTTGTGGTTGCATCTCATCCCCTTGCTGAACTCATCCGTTCTCTTAATAGCCGTACCAACAACTTGAGCAATGAAGAACGAGCAACTATCATTGAGAAAATTGACCCTGGACTAAGGTTTGTGTCTGAATCTTGTGAATAGTTATGGTTGTGATTTTCTGCGTCTTGTTTACAAATTATATTAATTTCTTCTTGAGTATTAAGAAAAGGGATAATTGAGGAAGACGCAATTGAAAACTTTCTTGATGTATGCAGTGATGGGATGAATGGGTACATCGCTTCATGTGGTGGAGATAGTCAGCCTCCATGTTTCAGCTCCCCAGTTGAGGGCATGGAAGATGTTTTAGCCAATCATGTCATGTAAGCCCTCAATGCAAGAATTTGAGTTTAATCAGTTTTTGGCCACCCCTTGACCTTTATGAAGATGAATTTTGGAACCTGATCTTCATCAAAGTAACATTCATTTTTTTTTTTCAGTTGTGCTATATACAAACTTCCAGATGATATCAGAGGCAGCGAGATTACTCATCAAATTCCAACATTGAAAATCCCTAAAAAGGTATAGTTGATTGAGTTTACTGTTTGCTCTTCTTGGCTTCCGATTTTGATTTCAAGTTGTGGGTCAAGAATAAAGAAACTGCTTTGTTTGGTTTTTAGAAGAACCAAACTCATAGTTGACTTGTTTATAGTGGTTAGTTTACACAGTGTTCGTTATTTGTTTTTTTCACAGACTATACATCTAGTGGATTTGAAAGCTGAAGGTCTTCTATGGCATGAAGATGGTGACAGAAGACGAGCTCCTCCAAAAGTTAAAAAAATCAAGAGGTGGAGATTATGAAATGTTGTGATATGCAAAAGTCTTGGAAGGCCTTTATTTACAGATGGTGTTAAATGTCTTGGTTCCTTTTCTCGATGTATGCAGGTATAATCCAGAAGGATCTATTTCTGGGAATAGGCTTGGGAAGGCAGCACACAAGCTTGTGTTGCAAACAATAAATGCCCAACTTGATAGTACGCACATCAACTCGGAACCAGTGTTGTGTCCAAACATTGTTTTCCAGAACCAACGAGTGCCGAAAAGAATCCCAGCATTTCGAGAAAATGGGATACAATGGATAAGCCCTCCGACTCAAATCACTCCGAAGAAGATGAAAAGCCCTGAAAGTCAAAAGACTAGGAAGAAGAATGATACCCCTCAGAGTCGAGACAAATCGAAGAAGCTGAAAAGCTCTCTGAAAGTAATCCCTTTGAAGATGAAGAAAACTAAAAACCCTCAGAGAGATTTCACTCGGGGGAAGAAGAAGGAAAACATAACCCCTCAAAGGAAACCCACTAAGGCGGAGAGGCAGGCGAAACACATTCGCATGATGGAAGAGGCGAAAAGGATAAAAGAGAGGAAAAAAGAGAAGTATTTAAGAAAGAAAGCCAAATATGCACAAAAGGATCCCAACACAGCTTGAGCTTCATCCTGAACTCTTACTCGATCAACTGTTAGAATATAATCAAGAAAACAAAGGAGCAGTTCGGATAATGCATTGATGTGATAGGTTATTTTGGTGGATCTAAACAGTTTTGCTACTTATCTTCTTGTAATTCAGACATATATGATTTAGCGATCAATGTATTTTTATTTATTTCAGAGGCTACCTAAAACGACCAAAGCAAGGGTCATAGTCAATTAGCTATCTTGTTTTATCTTAGTATCTTTGTCAAGAAGATCAACTCCAAGGCTAGTAAAGATACTTTATGGTGGATAATGATCCTCGGAATACAGTTGAGTTGAATGAACAAATTTTTTCACCTCTCCTTTCTTGATCTCTTCGAAATCCATTTTTTTTTATTAATCTTCAAATTTAAAATGAATGTCTTAATCTTCTTCTAGATTTGCCATATGCTTAAATGAACAATGAATGACCCACTTTAATAGAAAAACTCTCGGTTTATATTATAAAGTTGTGAATATTATAATGTGGAATAAAAAGCTTATGTAGACTCTCAGATAATTATAGTCTAAAAGTTTTTAAAAAATAAATAAATAAAATCAAACTTAATATATGACCGTTGGAATGAGATTGGCGGTGCAGCTTAGATGCCTTTCAAAAATTCTACAACTATAGTGTCTTCTGGTCGTCAAATATGTTTCTCCAATGAACCATATCAATCAGAAAATAAACTTTCTTTAAACGAGTCTGGTATAGAGTCTACATGATCATCTCTTGATTCACTTTGATTTAGGGGTGAAGTGGCTCGAGAATTCTTTTCCTTAGGCTTGATTTCTCAGGGAATATTTACTCGAGTCGATTGGTCTTTGGCAGCTTGGCTTAGTGTTCTTTCGTTTCATGTTGCATCCGTCAATATTCTGCATGATTGGCTCGCGTATTTTGAAAAGTCGCATGGATAAATAGCTTTTGCAGGCGGTGTTTCAATCCTAGGACAATTTTTCGATCCGTTGTGGAGTTAGAGAAGATTCCTTTTTTTCATTTTCGGTTCCAAGTATCTTCCATCGGTAAATATGCTGAATTGGCTCGAGTAATTTGAGAAGTGTCCGGATGGTTAGCTTCAAAAGGTTGAATTTCTTGAGGAATCTTTAATCATGGGACCTATATACTTGATCAATTGGATGTTGCGCAAGATTCTCCTTTCTACCTTCGCTACATGTAAGTGTTATGGGAAATTTTTTACTCCAAGTTGGTCTTAGAACACCCATGGTACTATTGTCAACATCATACGGGGTTGCCATTTTTCTTCTTCAAGTCTTCCTCCTTGTTTGGGGTGATCTTCCCTTGCCCCGAGTCTTAGTGATGTATCAGGGCTCGACCTCACTATATACTTGATTAAAGCTTCTATCGGTGGTGGAGTTTTTCCAATGGTTGTGGGATCCTTGTTTGGGTAAGATTCGTGGTACAATATTCATCATTTCTTTAATTTGGCACCAAAGTGTTCATACAAAATTTGGGTTTCATCTTTCGACGCTTACTCCATGACATATCTTAGAGATGATCAATGGAAAGTAAATAAACTTACCGCGAAGAGCTCAAAATACCGATGCATCGTATCTTCCAAAGATAAGCTCAAAATAATTTTGGTCTTAAGCAACTAAATGTGGTGATCTGCCATGTCTGCTCTTAGCTTGGAGGTATTTTAATGATATCGATTAAAAAGGGTTTCTTCTCATTGGTTTGTGAGCTTTTGATGTCGTTGACATAAAATTTGATTATTTGAAAATAGTTCTTAGTACAATAGGACTTAATTTTACCAGTTTACTAACCAACCGTCGATTTGTTAATCTTTCACATGAACCACATGTGTGTTAGGTTTGGTGCGGCTAACTCATCTCATCACAAATGTAGATGGTGCAAACTTTTTGAAAGATTGATATTCGATATATTTTCTAGTGATCTGAAACCCATGTATCACGTTGTAATTCGCTAATAGTGTAATACATATAATCAACCAAATTGATCTTCTACCAAATTAATACTGAAACGATATACAAACAAAAACCCAATTTGTAATGAGCAGTTATTCAATATTCACCAAACTTCGATATTTGAAGTAAAAAATAAAAAAGTCAAGATGATGTAACATAAAAAAAAAAAAATTAAATAAATTAAAAAAAAAAGGGAGATTGACACAAATAGCCCCAAAAAAGTTGTTTTTTCCAAAAATAGCACCTCATTTGAAAAGTTCCACAAATAGCACCATAAACTTCAATTAAACTTAATGAAAATATAAGATAGAAAATAACAAAAAAGAGCAAACACTAATCTAATATTAAATTGAATCAAAATTGTTTTAAATAGTGGAAATATATACCCTAATTTGGAAATAGGGAACCCAAATATAATACCACAAACTAATATTAAAATAAAAATCTCTTTTAAATGGTGAAAATATATACCCTAAATTGGAAATAGGGAACCCAAATATAATACCATAAACTAATATTAAAATGAATCAAAATCTCTTTTAAATGGTAGAAATATATACCCTAAATTGCAAATAGAGAACCCAAATATAATATTTTAAATTTATTTCTAATTTATTTTGTTGAATAGCTTTTATATAAAAGTTGTGGTATTATTGAAAAAAAAAAGCTAGTGATAAAAGTTTTATAACAAAAACACTAATAGTAAATTAACTAGTGCTATTTTTGGAAGTTTATGGAGTGTGTGCTATTATTGTCAATAAAACTTGTTTTAGGGTCATTTTTAGGAATTTCTCAAAAAAAAATACCTAGCTTCTAACGGTGTGCTAGAATATTGTAAAAAATAGTAATTAAAGTATTAAACTAAATATTTTATTAGTCCAAATTGCTTTTTATTATTTAGGGTACTCAAAATCCATAATTTTCAAAGAGGCGTGACTTAAAAATCTGAAAAAAGCAAATCGGAAGAGAGAGAGAGAGAGAAGGTGATTTTGAAATTTCAGATAACGCAGATATTTTACTCTCGCCGGAGTTTTCTCCTCCCACCGTCTCTGCTTCTCACTACCGCCGTACACAGTTGTTCTTCTCTCCCAACTACAATTTCCTCCGCCGGTAACTTCACCTTCCCGATCTCTCGAATCGTTGTTGTTTCTTATGGTTCTCGTTTCTTATACTGAGAATTTGAGAAGACGTATTTGTTGCTAATCATCATCTAGCTCGATTGTTTACCCTAGTTTTTCGCTTATCGATAATCGTTCATGTGTTGTGATCGAGTTTTAGTTGTTCAATTTCGTTTTCCTTACTTGATTCTCTGTAACATTTTCTCATCTTCTTTGTCGATTTCTTCTCGATCTGATAGAACAATGAAATAGCAAAATTGGTCGTCAGGTGTGTTTGATGTTCAATTTCGTTACTTCAATTTTGATTTTTACATTGCTAAGCTCATTTCAATGGATGATTATTGAAGGTTTTAACTCTGTAGTTAGCATTTTGTGGAAGGTTAAACTAGAGTAGGACTATCAATTTTGCAGTATTGAAGAATAAAGCTTGTTAAATTTTCATGTTAATTGATGCTTTTTTGCTTTGCTTTCAGTTTCTTCAAGATGATTGGATCGTTTCTTACAAGAGGATTGGTGTACGAAAATCATACTATCTTACACTTTTTTGGCATGTGGTAGATACTGTTGATTAGTTCTCCTAACATTTACTAAATTTGTTGTAGGATGGTGTTGGGTTATGCTTACCCTGCGTACGAATGTTACAAAACTGTTGAAAAGAATAGGCCTGAGATTGAGCAACTTCGCTTTTGGTGTCAGTACTGGTACATTGTTTATTGCCATTTTCCGTTGTTTCCCATTCGTAAGGTTGAAGGTTGGAAATGTGTGTCAGAGATGACTTACGTTAAGTAACTTATCAATCACAGGATATTGGTTGCTTGCTTGACAGTTTTTGAGAGAGTTGGTGATGCGTTTGTTTCATGGTGGGCAATTCTAAACCAAAGCCGCTTTATTTCTCCAACTACAAACAATGATTTGCTCTGTTTGATGATTGTTTTGTCTTCATTTCTTTCGTTAAGGGTTCCAATGTATAGCGAAGCTAAGTTGGCGTTCTTCATATACCTGTGGTATCCTAAAACCAGGGTTAGTGTTTATTTAATTGGTGGAGAAACATTAGTCTTTTTATGGTGTACATGAGTTTTTGTCTATCTTTGATTGTTTAGGGTACTACATATGTCTACGAGTCCTTCTTTAGGCCATATCTCTCACAGCATGAGAATGACATAGACCATAGTTTGTTGGAGCTAAGGACAAGAGCTGGAGATATGGCAGTTATATACTGGCAACGAGTTGCAAGCTATGGTCAGACCAGAATCCTTGAGATTTTGCAGTATGTTGCTGCACAATCAACTCCAAGGCCGCAGCCACCTCAGGTACATTTAAAGATCTGCAATGAGTATCACTTGCCGCATTTTTTCCTAGATAATCAGTCAAAATGCATCGATGATACAATATCGTATTGAATTCACATTTAATGTTCTGTCATATTCGTTTCGTCTGTGATTCAGAAACGTGGAGGTAGAGCTAATCAAGCTCCTGCTAAGCCTAAGAAAGCCCCTGTACCCCAACCAGAATCTGAAGAAGCATCATTACCCTCGTCCCCTAGCTCATCTTCAAGTGAAAATGAAGGTAATGAGCCAACCCGTAAAGCATCAGGCCCGTCAAGACCTAGACCGACAGTGACATCTGTACCAGCCGCAGATCCCAAAAACGCCACTCAGATAGCACAAAAATCAGTAGCTTCCCCAATTGTGAACCCGACCCAATCAACCAGCCAAGTGGAAACGGAACCAATGCAGATAGAAGAAGTGGAAGGAGAAGCAGAATCAGGGAATGAAAATCCAAACCCGGAAGGTCCAAAAGAGACGGTAATGGAGGAGACAATCAGGATGACTCGTGGGAGGTTGAGGAAGACGCGTTCAGAAGAAAGCCGTTGAAAGAAAAAGAAGAAGAAGAAGCTCAACTCAAAAAATTGTTAATTACTTGCATAACATTTGTCTCTCTTTCTCTCTCTTTCCTGCTTCTAGAATTACGTTGACAGGAACTAACAACTAGTGGGAATGGTTTGTATCAAAAGTAAATTTGTTGGTTTCGTTCTTTCATTCAATTTAGTTGCGTTAAGTGTAAAAGATAACACACTTTTGTTTTTGTTTTGTTTGATTACATGATTAATTCGGTAAAATAGGTACAACTACTTGAGAGTAGAAATGAAGCAAGATCAGTCATAAACAGTTAAAAGTTGGATTGCACCTAATCATGTAATCAAAGACCATTGTAAAACGATATTAGATTGGTTCAAAAAAGTAGATTAGGTCGTTATTTGAATATCCAAAAAGAAAAATATTATTCTTTTTGTAGAGGTGGTTGATAATATTTTTTTTTTTTTTTTTTATAAACCCTATCGGCTGATCCGGTCGGCCTCGGTAGGAACGCACCGAGGTGCTAAAGAATGGATTTCTCCCGATCCAGATAGAATTGGGCCACCAGACTGCCTGATCCGAGTTTGGAATACCTTCCGACTAATGTCAGGGGGTAGTCAGGCCGCCTGCATTTCTGACTACCAGGTAAACCAATTGGGCCAATACCCAACTGACAGACTTCCCAAACAAATGTGTTTTTGTTTCCAGGGAGAATCGAACTCGGATCAGGGAGTTTCATCCTTCACCAAAGCTTCCTCTGCCACTAGACCACAGTGGCTTGGGCGGTTGATAATATTTGTTGTCATGACTTATCCACACTGTAATGTATAAAACAATAGGAAAAAGTATTTGTTTTAGCATTTGGTGGCAATATCAACTTTTTAAACCTCAGTTGTTAGTAGCCTGAACCAGACCCATGTATTTATATATTCTTCTACACTAGTATTTTTTTTTTTGGTTCTTTATTTGTGTCGGCAAGGCCCGACCCATATTTAAAACTTTACAACACGAGGTAACGCGACAGGTGAGAGTCAAACTCCGAATTTAGAAAAGTGGACATTAAACTACTTAGTATTAGCTCGTATATTGAGTGAATTAGGTATCTAACAAGGATTGAAGATTTAGTTAGAAAACTAACAAATGCAAAAGGTGTTGGAAGAAACTTTGCAAAGACGTTACCCTTAGTGAGTAGTGATGTCTTGAGTCGGCTAATCTTATATCGTGAAGCAAGAGGCAAAGCAAAAGTTTCGACACTTGTTGTATGTAGCGGTTTATAAGTTTTTATTTATTTATTTTGCATAATACATCTATCCAATATCTAGATTGCATTAAAATTCCGTCTGAATCCATTTTTCCGTTTTGGAATCGGAAGTTTTTCAAAATCGCGAAAAAAGATAGCGGAAACACGATTACTTAGAAAACTCAATTTGAAAACATGACTGACGGAAAAGTTCGATTTCATTTTAATAACACGACGGAATCTTTTTCCTTTTTAGAAACTTACTAAGTAAATAATTAGATGAAAAAAAAATATATAATAATTAGATGAAACTAATATTGGGAGAATTTGTTTGATGAAATAATTTTAACAAACCATAGTTTTTTTTTTGGACAAATCACAAAACCATAGTTAAAAACAGTTTTGGTTAACGGAAATGATGAGAATGCCAATGATTCAATGAAGATGACCGGTTAAATCTTTGACTTTGATTGTTATATTAATTTATTTTTGTAATTAAGTTATTTAATATTTATATATTGGAATGGTGTTGTTTCAAATATTTTGTTGTTAATAATGGTTGTGTTTCATTATATACTCATGTTTCTAAACAAACCCGTTTTCTAAATATTTTAAAATTTTCTTTCTGCGTCTCACCACGGTTCGCTTCCAAGCACCCGTTTTCGTTTCCGTTTCATGCAACATAGTCCAAATGTCCAATACTCGTAAAACATGAGCTCTTTGAAAAATCAATATCTTAACTAGTTATTTGGGGTTTATTTGACGTTTTCTGAGAATATTGTGTATGTATTTTGAAATAACTGGCTACTAAAGTTAAACTACGGATCATATACAAATTTTGACATTTAGACCCAATGTTTTATCTACGTAGTTTACATATAAAAATAACGAAAAAGACTTTGGAGTCTTATATCATTGATCAATCTCATTCATTTATTGAGATAGTTGCAAATTAAAAAACTAACTGAGTAATGGTATAGTCAATACTCATCAATCCTACAGCCACTAATACATATTCAGTTAGCTTATATTGATAATGAGTTAAAAACCTTCACATAGGCCAAAGAGTTTGGTTACAATAACTGAAACATAGATCTTAAGTTTGGAGGAGACAACTCAAAGGTTGGAACCTGAAGTTGCGGGGACAGAGGGCGAAGCAGAGTGAGATGGAACATGCTTGAAGTTTCCGAAGGGTGATCCAGGCGCTGCAGGAGGGTCATAAGGAAATAGGGGTTGTGGAAAGAAAGGAGAATGGAGTTTTGGGAAACCTTGCCCCGAAAATTGAGGAGAACCTTGTCCTGGGTTAGGGAAAGGCGTGGGATGGTTTGGAAAACCTTGTCCTGGAAATTGAGGACTGAAAATTTAAATTTCAAAAAAACTCTTTTGTCAATAAATCACAATTACGATAATTAAATTCATTTATACAAACGATATACAAAAATTTAAGACTATGATTAAATTTATGATTAATGACTTCAACTATCGTATTTTAATAGTGTATCTTATTATATAAAGTATGGTTTTCAAAGTTAATAACTCATAGGACCGTGCCACGTGTCAAATTTATCAATCTCAGATTTTGACACGTGTTAAACAAAACTTTCCTTTTATTTATTTAAAAAAATATAAGGAAACTATACACATATGTCAAATTTATCAATATAAAACAATTCTAAAAATCTAAAAAAGATAAATATAAGGAAACTAGATGTATCTTATGAATAAAAATAAAAATTTAAGAAAAAAATTTATAAGGCAACTATACAAATATATCTTATTAAAAAAACAATTAAAAGTAAAGAAGATAATTATAAGGAAACTATATGTATCTTATTAAATAAAAATAGAAATTAAAAAATTATTTACTCATTCTAATTTAAAGCTACTAATTCTAAAGAAAAAAAATCATTTTTTCCTTAAAATTGAAAAAGATTTATGCAATTATAAAATCTTATTGTATAATATGATAATTAAAGAAATTTTATAATCAATTATTAATCCTAGAAGAAAAATGATTCTATATACTCACTTCTATAGATACAAAAATAGATAGATAGACAAATTAAGAATATATGGTGATGGAGGCAAATTAAGAATTATGAACGGCGATGTACATAAAATAGAGTTGTTGTCGAAGAAGCTCGACCCGGTGTCGGAGGAGATAAAGAAGGTGGAGAAATAAGAGCAGTTGGGGAAACAGGGGAAGATGCGGTAACGGTGGTGTTGCTGTTGATGACGGTAGTTCAAGTTTGGTGGCGGTGGCGATAAATATTGATGAAGGTGGTGGGTCGGAATTAGCGAGATTTAGTATTGATGGTGATGATGATTGTGATAGTTGTGAGATTTAGTTGTGGTGGTGGCCTGGTGAGTCGGAGTAGTGAGACTCGGTGGTGATGCCCAACGAAGGAGAAGATATGGAAAAAGAAAAAAATATGGTAGTGAAGAAATCCAACGCGAGGGAGAGAAAGAAAAAGAAAGAGGAGATCGAGCAAAAATAAGAGAAATCTAATGAGAGAAAAAGAGAGATTTGAGACTTCTCGCCGGCGAGAAAAAGAAAAAAAAAACAACGAAGAGCTCATGAGTAATATGGACCAAAAATTGACAAAACCATATTTAGTTAATATTATTTTCTTAATTCTTTTTTAGTTTTAGGTTATTTAGTGCATATTCCCTAATTCCTTATGAATTTGTCTTCTTGTTTTGAGAATTTCCCATATTATCAAGTAAAGCTACATGATGTGGATATAGACTATCTCATATTGTCACAGTTTTGTTTCCATCTTACCCACATTGAAAAAAGAAAGTGTTATACACTCTTCCGATGGATGTAGATAATTTATTAAAATTCAATAATAAACATATGAACATTTATTAAATATTATATTGTAACATATAATAAACAAAACTACAAATAATATTTTATACTACACATTATGCATAACTAATCTATATTTAAAAAATAATTAAAATACTATATTTTCTAAAATTAAAACATATTTTTATATAATTTTAGTTAAGCTTACAAAACTAAAAATTAAAAATGACAATTTTGACCGATAACCCGTGCAACGCACGGGTCCATATCTAGTTAGACTATAAATGAAAATTATACTATGCATACTAAGAAGTTAGAAACTTACAAACAATTATGCCTTTTTTAAACAAAAAATCATAAACGATACTACAATATGATAGTTTAAATACACAACATAATAATTGTTTGATACAATTAATTTAGAGACAAAATAATTGTTTGATACAATAAATTTTTAGAAAACACTCTAATGAAATTTCAATATTTAAAAATCACTAAAACCATACATTATATTATCTTATATATATAAGATTGCTGAACACAGATTCTTTAAGTGCTTTCTGAAAATACTCAGATTCTTTTTTGGCATTACCATAAGCTTGTGTCTTTTTAAGGAAAAGTACTGATGGATAAATTGTGTTGCTTCGAGATTTCTATATTTGTTCTTTGGTTCATTTTAAATGTTTACTTATTCACAATCGTTATTTCATCTATAGTATACTTGATACTTGTTGAATTCATTCTTGCCGGAGAGCTTCAAGAAACAAGCAAGCGGGTGCGCATAAAACATTCTTTTTTGAGCTTTTTTTCTTTGATTGTTGGCACTAAGCTGATAAATTCTCTATTGACTCTTTGTTGCAGGTGATCATCGTGAGGAGGTCAGAACTGGAGAAGCTAGAGTGATGAGATACGAGACAAAGTGAATATTGGGAAAATCAGCAGTAGGAGTCTTCCCAAAAGATAGAAAAACATATACAACGGAACAGCTTAAAGGAAGCTAGTAGTTGACATGGTATTCAGATCCTTTTTGTCTTTTACACAATGTTAGACAATCAAAGAGTTGAGAGAGAATTTGCTTATCCCAGGAATGTTATCTTATGACTTAATGGCGGCATTTCTCTATATAGATTTGTATAATGTTCATGTCCAATTAGGTTAATGAATTTGACTATAGATCAGAGATCAATTTAGAAGTGACATTTTGAAATCCATGATAAAATGATAAGGGATTCATTAATATGGTAAAATATCGAAGTCTTTCTGCAAATCGCGGTCTTTTGCATTGTTTCTCCCACTTCTTCTTTTAATTCGTTACTTGTTCTCACTCGATCATTAACGGAAACTCAGGTGGTTAATACCGTATTGAACCTACTAGTTGCATGCAATATATATAGTAAAATACATTCAAAGATGAGACGTTTTAGCATAATACATAAAGCAAAAATCAGCAAAGCCACATTTCCTAAAGTTACTTTGTTCTCTACAAAACAGAATCCTTAGTTTTCTTTGCTCAATTTTACATACCCTTCTTTCCCTCAGGACTGTGGCCAACAGACTCCAACTGGTTCCTCAAATTCTGATTATCCTCAAGCAACCTATCATACTCCATAAGAAACCCATCAGCTTGCTTTCTCAGAGCTTCTGTTTCACCTTGTGCCCCTTTTAGTTCTTTGCCTTTGCTTTCACTTTCCGATTCTAATGTCTTTATCTTCGCCTTTAAGCCCGCGATTTCTTCCCCTAGCGCTTTCACTTCCTCCCCACTTGTGTTTTTTCCATCCTCAAAACCTCTGTTCTGTTTCTTCGCAGTCTCCATTGTCTTCCTCAACAACCGAAGCTCTCTAATGTAATGGTGTAGTCGATCAATCATAAGCGAGAGAAACAACACAAATCCTGAAATATAGAAAAATTCAATAACCTCAATGCTCAAAGAGTTAACCCTATGCAAATCAGATTCGTAATATGATCAGATCTAAGTATCCCGATTTTCCCTTGTTACACTCCTTAGTTCAATAACTATTCCACCAAACAATTCTTACTAATTTAAGAGAGTAACACTAAGCGAATCAGATTCTTATTAGAATGGTAATATGATCAAATCTACTCCTTTTAACATCTGATATCGGAACACTAAGGATCGCGATTTGCTCGAATTACACTACTCAATTATATAAACTCTTCCGAAAAACAATTCTTACTGATTTATATAACCTAAGCAAATCAGATTCATGTTAGAATGGTAATATGATCAAATCTGATATCTGAATTCCAAGGATCAAGATTTTCCCTAGTCACAGATTTAACAGAATCATCACAATTCCTCCAAATATAAAGTAACCCCAAAGCAAATCAAATTCATATCAGATCTAAGTATCACAATTTTCCCCTAATTCTACAACTATTCCTCAAATCAATTTCTTACTGAATTAAGAGATCGAAGATTTAGTGATTATACCCATTAGAGAAGCTTCGAGAAGATACTTCGAAGCAAGAACTTGATCAGTAGGATTAAGAACAGCACCATCTTCAGATCGGCGTTGGATTTTGACTAAACTGTAGATACTCGACAAGAGAACAACGAACACGGTGGTTCCGATGGTTTTCACGACGACGGGACCACGGCCACGTTTGATTCCATCGAAGGTGAGGATGATTAGCTTTCGGAGAGGTGTTTTGAAGAGGAGAAGGAGGATTAGTGCCATTTCGGCGAAGATCACTGTGTAGAGGAGGTGGATCATTGTTCGTCGCCGGTGAGAGTAAACCCTAGATTGATGATCGGAGAAGAAGAAAATGAGAGAGAACGTGTTGTTGTGTCGGTCAATGGAAATAAATGGAAAAGCGTTACTTTGTAGGAGCTTTTAAGATATTTCGTTGGGCAATAAATGACACGTCATCTTTACTTTTTTAAATCGCTTCCAAATAAATCATTTATTGCGGTTAACACGTATGTTGAAAAACGTATGTCGGCAACCATGAAGTTTTTTTAATAACTAAAAAGTTTTGGCTTTAACATCCATCATGGCCTAGGCATTCGGTTCTTTGGTTCTATTCGGTTCAACTTTTCCGGTTTTTGGTTCGTTTCCAACTTTTTAGGATTTATAAGGGAACCAAAAAAGTTTCGTTTCGGTTCAGTTCTATTACTTGTCGGTTTGATTCGGTTCGGATACTTAGACAGAGAACAGATAAATAACCAAAGTTCATGAATATCGATTTGGTTCGGTTCAGTTCCGTTTATTTTACATTAAATACCAAAAAAAAACCGAAATACTCAGAAAAAGAACCGAAACACCCCATTATTTTAAACTTTTTTGACAAAATTGTAATAGACCAAAATATATTGGGCTAAAATATCAAAAAATTAACAAAAATCTATTGGGTTAGAGGTTGGGACAAAATGTATTGGGCATAGATGTAGGTTTGTAGAGAGTAGACCAAACATTTTCGGTTTCATTCGGGTACCCATGGATTTTCGGTTCGGTTCGGTTATTAGCCATATCCAATGGATAGTCTGACTGAGATCCATTCGGTATTTAGTGGTATCCAATAACTGAACCGGAACCCTTTTTTTGGTTCAGTTCGGTTTCTTCGATTCTGGTTTTTATGCCCAAGCCTACCCTCATATTTGGAATAAAAAATATTTTATATAATCTTTTTCTTAAATGTCATTTGATCCGATGACTTCTGTTTTACCTAAATTTTTTTATTAGTAGAACTATTAACACTTGATAATCATGAATTTTTTATTTTGTTTTCTTTTTTCGAAAAAAAAAAAAAAAAACTTTCATTAAGAATTAGAAAGATCGTTGTATAATTGTTCAAACATCTATAATGGAAGATTACAAGTTTCAGAATAGATATCAGAGAAACTACATCCATGTTTATTTAAAAACTGAACAACCATATTATTTGAGTGACAAGTGAACATAAAATTTGTCTCTCGGAAACGTTCAACCCAATATAAAATATCTTCATACACACGAGCAAAAGAGATAACAATAGATTGACTCTCGTAAAAAATAATTAATTCTTATCCATGTATGTGATCTTATAGTTAACTGGTTTTTTATGGATTATTTTATTTTTAATAAACATTTGGTAACCAATGATTTTAGTTATTAAAAAGTTTAGAAGACAATAAGAGAACGATAAGTGGTTATGATCATAAGAGGACAAGTGTTAAGCTACATAGCATGCTAAATAACCAATGTTAGACACATGTCCTAACACTTCTCCATTACCTACATCTCTACTTTGATTGATGGTTGAGATTAAATTAAAAGGCAAAACCCTAATGAGGAATAAGGTCTTCTCCCCACCTATACATAAATGCTTTGCTCCATCACAAATCATCATGAATAAAACAACACTTAAAGAAAAAAACTTATAGGAAAGGGGAGAGAAACCTTATCTCCTATCTGAAGATCTAAGAGTTTCGTTTTCAAGTCTACAAACCATTGATCAATAAAGCTTTACTTTCAAAGGAATCATTCAAGAAAGCATCATTTCTTCAATGAGTGGAGGTATTTTCTTTAATCTTCTTTACGATTCTATTATGTGATTAATATAGATGTTTAAAATCTTAGGGTTCATATTAAAAGTATGTTTAACAACTCTTAATGGTATTGATTAGAACCTCGCAATCACCTCCTAAGAAGATAGAAGTGAACCCCTTAATCCATACTTGTTGCATTGCTGCTAGCCTACTAATAAGAGTTTAGCTTCGGCTTCCAACAGAGTTAAAGTAGGAGATAGTCTCGCTGATCCCCAACATTTTGTCTTTCCGTCATGATCCCTGATGATCTTCCCACCATAAACTGCTTGAGTAGCTTGGTCAAAACGAGCATGAAAATTACGTTTTACAAAGGGGATAAGTGGTCACTTCCACCTTGGACACATACTTGTAGAAGACCTTGCTTTGTAGCTTTTGTTAGTAAGATTGGTCGCCGACTCACTGTTATCCATTCTTTGATCTCGCCTTGAGCTTCTACCACAGGTTTCGAGGAGCTTTTTCTTTTTCCATTAAAGATTTAATTGTTTCTTGCTTTCCAATTTTTTAAAAGGAGCCCAAATGGAAGTAGTTTTTTTATTTTTTTTGATTAATTAGAGATTTTTGAATCAAAATTTACTCTATAAGTTGTAACTTTAAACTATAAAATCTTGAGAAAATTAGAAATAAAAGATGTTTAAGATTGGATTTGTCTATCTATACATTTTTTACTAAATTGTCACTTAAGATTAAATTACTCTAAATAGTGGATAAACAAAACTAAGGAAGTTTTAAGAAAAAAAAATCAGAAAACATGTTGACAAGTAAAAATGAAGAAGAGTTAAAGAAGAAATTTTGTGATTTCTTTGAAAATTGATAGTTTTTTAGATAGTTGAAATTTGTTCTAAAATGTTTAGAATACGTTTACTATCTTTTGTGTCAATTTGCCGTTTTCTATCTCATGATGCAAAGAAACGACATGGAGATGATATAGAAAAGCATCATAAACAAATTAAATAAAACAAAAGAGGTTCAAAGTAGACTTTTCTAGTTGTCACAGAAGGTAACTTGTCTCCCCAAAAGTCTTGAAAGAAAGAGAAGAAGAAAGAGTAGAAGAGAAAACAATGAAGAACAAAGGAGAGATCTTCAAAGGACAACGACTTCAAGGCTTGATCGACGAGGTGGAGCTAGAAGAGCTGAGAGTCTCGACGATGGTGGCTGCGAAAAGAAGCTCTAAGAGGCTGTAGGTCATGGTGTGAAGAGGCAGTAGGGTTTCATCACTTTGTCTCGGTATTTATAGGCTTCGATTAGGTCAAGGGGCAAAATCATCATTTCCCATGAATTAGGTTAAGTGCTGGCTAGAGTTTCTGGACCGGGTGCAGAGGTGAGTGATTGGTGGGACTTGTGAAGGGCAGTCCGGACACGGGCTTCATGACCGGTGGTGCTTGGAGGTTCCAAAATGGTCGCGAGGCTGTCTGGCCGGTCTTGACATATCTTCACTCTTCCTGGCCTAATTTGCGAATGGCTGAATGGTTTGCCTTAATTCTACATCGAGGGGAATTTTGACTCTTCTAGATTTCCATAGCCACCAAGATCTCTGGATTTGGTAATCGGAAAGACTTCGAACAGATGCCATACTTGTGAAGTACAGAATCTGTCTTGAAATGGGATTTGATCGACCTTTTACTCCTTTTTGTTTGAAAACTCATAATTCTTCCTTGAAGCATAAATACTTGAAAATGGCCTTGAATTCTCTAATATCTCTTGTTTTCTCCATGAAAAACCTAAATAAAACATAGTAAAAGTGGGCTAAAATATGATGCTATCAATTAGGAAAATCGTGTATGTGCAGTTAAATCAAGGATAGTTCATAATGCAATGAGGGAGATAAAGTGCCAAGATGGATATATTGTTACATCACAGGAGGATGTTAAAACCGAAGCATTTATGTATAGGTGGGGCCGGCCCGCGATGGGCATTTAAGTTTGTGAGACCGCGGCGGGCAGGCCCGCTAGGACCGCGGCAAAAATGATATGTCCAGACCCGCCCCGCTAAGCCCAACGGGTTAGCGGGCCGGCCCACGGGCTTAGTTTTAAAATTTTAAAAATAATTAAAAAAATAAAATTAATTTTTAAAATTTGAAATTAACAATTTTTCAATTAAAAAAAACTTTTAGAATTAATTTTTTTGTAAATCTTATAATTTTATACATTAAATTTTGTTACCTATATGTTCATATATTTCACATATATATTTTCAGAATTATGTAAAAGTATTTATTTATTTATTTATATTAATTGTTTATTTTTATTAAATATTTATAGTCTGCGGGCCGGCCCGCAAATCCGCGTACAAAACCCGCAAAAACCCGCAATCCGCCTGGGCTTGTCCGCGAGGCCCGCTATTTTATGGACATGAAAAATGATGTCTAAGCCCGCCCCGCCGTGGGCTACTTGGACAAAGCTCGCGGGCTATCGGCCCGCTTGACACCTCTACTTGTGGGTACTTCTTCGAATCATGCTGAAATCATCGCAAACCATGAAGCGGGTAGTGAATGCGTATGGCTAAGATCAATAAGTCGACACATTCAGACAAATAGTGGAACTCGCCTGAATACAGAGCCAACTATCTTATATGAAGACAATGTTGCATGTGTTGCTCTAAAAAAGGAAGGATATATATATATATCAAAAGCGATAGAGCCAAACATATCCCTCCGAAGTTCTTTTCATATACCCAAGAGCTCGTGAAGAATAAAGATATTGAAGTAAGATATGTCCGATCATCCGAGAATTTTGCAGATCTCTTCACGAAATCCTTACCCACCACTATGTTCACGAAACATGTCCATAACATTGGAATGCGTCGTCAATAAGACTTGTAACTTATGATCTTGATCATTCGAGGGGGAGCTTACGTCGTTGCACTCGTTTTACCGACTATGGTTTTTCCCACCGGATTTTCCTAGAAAAGTTTTAACGAGGCAACAGAAGATATTACGCAAGAGACATAGTGACACTATTCTCCAAGAGAAATTGTTACAAAAGTCAATAAATATGGCTTCTCACAACATCAACAATATACGCACACACATGTGATAAATATTACGTAAATTATGCGAAACCCACCATCACTATGCATTCAGAGTAATTTACTTTTTACGCCTATCTAAACGATCGAATATGATTGTTTTGTAAAACATAATTCATTACTTCAATTACAAGAGAAGTAATAAAACAACTTTCTTTCTCTCATCTTTTTATTCTTCAGTCCCGATCTTTCTACATATATAAAATTTTCTCTATTATTTATATTTATATACATCATAA